TACTGTCTCATCATGTTGTATTGCACAGGTTTCAACCAGTAACATCTGAAGAGATAATCAGGGCACTAACACCACTCTTGACCCTTGTCTGGGTAGGCTACTGAAAGCGGCCAAAGACATGATGCTGGAATGGACCACCTTTATCGTCAATTCTCCCTTGCAGGAGGAGGGGGGTTACCATCCTGCTTGAAAAAAATCATTATCAGGCCCATTCCAAAAAAAGCCAAATCTAGTGACAGGCAATTTGAACAACTTTATAGGCCTGTCACAAATATTCCATGGACAAGTGATCGAAAGGATGATGGCAAACCAGTTACAGGCATTCCTGGAAGAAACCAACTCTTTAGATCCATCCCAGCCTGGATGGAGGCCATAGCATGGCACTGAGAAGGCACTGGTCACACTGCATGATGACTTGTTAAGCAAAGCCAACTTGGAGCAATGACCTTGTTGGTCCTCATTGATATGTCAGTCACCTTTGATACCGTCAACCATGGTATCCTCCTAGATAGATTATTGAGGCTGGGGTTTAGTGGCCTTTTCATAAGCTGGCTCCAGTCCTTCCTTGGTCAACTCTAGAGAGTACAGCTTGGGGAGGCTGTTTTGACCCCATTGGTTTTTAGTTCTGGAGTTCCACAGGGCCCAATCATCTCCCCAATGCTGCTTAACATCTATATAAGACCACTGAGAGAGGATATCAAGAGATTTGGAGCTTCATGTTATCAGTATGTGGATGATGTGCCACTCTTTCTCTTTGAATCCATCTGCAGTGGATGCTGTCAGGTGCCTGGAAAGCTGCCTAGCCGCAGTTCTGGACTGGATAAGGAAGAATAAGCTGAACCTGAATCGAGCCAAGACAGAGATCGTGTTGCTGGGGGGTCCACCTACCTGTCGGGGGGGGGGAGAGAATTTACCCTCCCTATTAAGGAGCAGATACACAGTCTGGTGAGATTTTAGACCTAGCACTAATCATAGGAACAAGTCTGTGATGTGGTGCATTCTGCCTTTTGCTAACTTCAATGTATTGCCCCGCTGCATCACAACCTGGATGACAGATCCCTAGCAACATTGATCTATGAACTGATCTATGATCTAGTCAAAACATTGACTACTGTAATGGACTCTACATGGGTCTCCCCCTGAAACTAGCACAGAAGCTTCAGGATGTCCAGAATGTGGTGGCCAAATTGATTGCTGAGGTGAGGAAGTTTGACCACATCACTCAACTCTGGGTCGTTTTCACTGGTTACTTGTTTGCTTCTGTGTCAGGTTCAAGGTTTTGGTCCTAAAAGGCCCTAACCAGTTTAGGCCTTTGTTGCTTGTCTGAACATCTTCTGCCAAGTTCACTCACCCACCTGACTTGGTCTTCACAGATCTCACACCTGAGGGTGTTGACACCTCAAGAAGCCCAGAAAACGACCACCAGAAACTATGCTTGCTCAGCAGTGGCGCCTTCTTTATGGAATGGTCTCCTACAGGAACTACAGCTGGCGCCCTCCCTTTGCACATTCAAAAAGCCCTTTAGAACAGAGCCAATCAGAGAAGCTTTGGGGGAGGTTCTCCCCGACTAGCTTGGACAGCACAGGAAGAAGGAGGAATGTAGTCGTGAATGTCCTGAAATTGTCGTTTTGCTGCCTGTTGTGCCTTGTTTATTTGGGGGATAGTTTGTTCACAGTAACTGCATAATTTATGCTTATATTTTTTGCTGTACACTGCCCAGAGTAGCGATTTGCTAGATTTGCACTATATAAACTAAATTAACTAAACAGCTAGCAGGAACGCAAAACACCAGCATCAATTTGGATACATGATTTCAATTAGGAAACACCTAAAGGCTTGCAGTATACAAACTAAACTAACTAAACAGCTAGCAGGAACACAAAACACTAGCATCAATTTGGATACATGATTTCAATTAGGAAACACCTAAAGGCTGCGGAACTTGTTATATCTTCTGGAGTGTCTCCCTGTATCAGCCTTCTCACTTGCACTGAAACGGTTTTCCACCTTCATTACAAAGTTTATATTTCATTAGAGAAAAGCAACTAATAATTTATCGCTAAAATATAACAAATAAGGAGGGAAAGGTCTGTTTATTTGGAAAGTATGCTTTAAACCCTAAAAAAGAGAGTAGGTAATAACCAAAACCAATTCTGTACATTGGTACAGACGTATCAATCACAGACGTTGCTCAAGAGATAACACAGCCAACTTATGAGTGAGAGGCTTAAGGTTTAAGACTTTTCTGCAATTTTGTTTGTAGATACTTGCATTATAGTAGGGCTAACATTATGCCATTTATGTAGATGTGTCAGATAGGGATAGGATTTCTTGGTTCAGAAAGAAAGCTCCCTGTTAGGACTGGGGCAAGAACAGGAAGCTTGGGTGAAGCTAGGCCTAGCTATGTTCCAAGGCCTTCCAGTATAGGTCTTTTATCCCAGGCGAGCCACATTTAAGTGTCTATAAGGTGTATGTCACACAGAACTCCAAGAATGGGGAATTATAGGATCTGTAATCCAAGAAATCCAAAGGTTGCATCCCTATTCTAGATAATGAATCTGGTTTATTTCATATACCCCTGTTCAGAATTTAATGTATTTAATATACCCAAGAAATCCAAAAGTTTCATCCCTATTCTAGATAATGAATCTGGTGTATTTCATATACCCCTGTTCAGAATTTAATGTATTTAATATTTTATGCATTTAAATATTTTAAATAAATAAATCTTGCCTTTCCGCCAGAAATAGTTTTCACAACAGCTAACAGCAAAATACAATTAAAACAAAAACGATTTAAAATATAATAATAAAAAGCTGTAACACATTGCTTCAGCAATAACCCAATTTAAATTATGAAGGCCTCCCTGTTTGTCTGCTGGTGGAAGGACAAAGGGAAGGCTGGTTAATTTAATAAATAAAAGAGTTCCAGAGCCTGGGAGCGGCCACTAAGAAATCCTTTTCTTGCATCTCCATCAACATGTCCTTGAGAAATATCACCCACCCACCCAAATTCTACAGCTAGGCAGCCTTGTACAGAATATTGTCCATCAGAACCTAGCAGGCCATAATTAGCATTTCAAATTGTCTCTGGAAACAGCGTAGTAACCAATGAAGCTGGTGCAACAAGGGAACCATATGTTGTCTACAATCAGCCCTGATCAACAGCCATGAACTAGATGAGGTTTCCAAACACTTTCCAAACCAGCCTCACAAGAAGTACAGTGGTGCCTCGCATAGCGACGTTAATCGGTGCAGCAAAAATCACTGCTAAGCAATTTCGTCGCTATGCGATTTTAAAAAGCCCATAGGAATGCACTGAAACCCCTTCAGTGCGTTCCTATGGGCTTAAAACTGACCTCTAAGCGAAGATCATCCATACGGTGGCATTTTCGCTTTCCGGTAAGCGAGGAATCCGTCCCTAAACACAGCGTGCGGCCATATTTTCTTTACACGGCGGCAATTTTGGAACCGCCGATCAGCTGTTTAAAAATCATCGCTTTGCGATGATCGGTAAGCGAAACAGGGAACCGATCATCGCAAAGCAAAAAACCCCCATTCAGACCATTGCAAAGCGATCGCAAAATCTTCATCGCTATGCGATTTCGTCGTTAAACGGGGCGCCCGTTAAGCGAGGCACCACTGTATATTTTTGTAGACTAAATGGAATATAACTAAGACACATGTCATCATGGCCATATCTGACATCTCTGCGGCGCTAGTTTGTGAATTTGCAGTCCTTGCCACAAGTGAAATGTGGGTACCCAGGCTGAGGGCTGAACCGAGGAATTCAAGCATGGAGCCTAGGTTACACAGATGCTGAACTTTAACACACATATTCTCCCACTGAGTCAGTCACACAAAACAAACAACACTATATTATAGTGCAGGTTCACATAATACACAGTACTTTCAGATTCAATTTATTTAAACCAGATAAGGCTAATAAAAACACAGCTGTTCAAATACAAAACACACAAAATTAAACTGTGCTGTACTAAAGTACAAAACTTGAACAAGTTTTCAGGAAGAGGCAAACACTGCAAACACACAATATTGTTTTATGATCTAGTGGAAGTTATACACCAACAGTGCAACCCTACATATGTTTACTCAGGAGTAAGTACTATTAATTCTGCATTACTTTGAGATAGAGGGCTGTAGCCTCCAAGTCTCTTTTACTGAGAAAGAGGTACTGTATGTACATTAACAGTTCTACTAAAATCAATGTGCTAAAAATCAGTTGGATCATGCCCATTGTGTATCAATAGTTAGGCAATTCTTATTATGGTTTCATTTCATTTTACATTGGTTTCATAGAAACTGTTTTTCACATTTACAATTTCTGAAACTAAGTAATTTTTCTGAGATGTTACCATCATCTTCAGAGCATTTAGGAAAAGAAATCTCCTTTATGCATAGGATTCAGTATTATTTTGTGCATGGGATCATGATCCAAACATTAAAAAAAAAACTAGAGCAAATTTCTCACAATCCAGAAGAAATTGGCTCCAATTACTTACAGAAAGAAAAAAGTTCAGGGTTTTTGTTTTGTTTTGCTTTGCTCTGACCCTTCACAAACTTCCACTGTTTATTTTTAGTACAATTCATTAACGCCATATTTCCAAACTACTCAATAGGTGTTAAGTTTTCTTCCTGGATTTTAGCAGGCATGTTATAAGCAGGCAAGTAAGGTCTTCCACAAATGTACAAGTGTTTTGTGCAAAATGCTAATGCATGTACTTTTAAGCACAACATAAGATCATGCACTATTTTCCCTCAAATGCTTTCCATTCACAGCCCATTAGTGTGCCTCCATGTATCTCCAATGAAAACAGAAATGCATTCATCTTCAATTATAACAAAAACTTCAATTTGAAGCAAAGACATTGTACAGTTCCGCTCCCCCACCCCATTCCACTTGTGAGAGGTAACCACAGCCTCACAGCAGGGCTGGAACAGTCCAGATGTCATCTAAATTCTTGGTACTGGCACTCAAAGACTTGAAATATTTTCTAGCCCTGTTAACAGAATGGTTTGTGCAAAATCTATTTTATCACCATGGGAGGTTCAGCAGAAAGGGGAAGCAGTCTTCCACTGCACCTGAACACACCTGTAACAGGATCTGCATTTATCTGAGTACAGTTGAACATGAACAGTTGTAAACTCACATGGATCTCCTCTATCAAGTCATGCAAGGACTGAACAATCAGACAGTTGAAAATTCTAAAAGAAGACTGGTAAATTAATCTTGTTCTACCAAAACCAACTACTAGAAGGGCAAGTAGATAACTCATAATGCAATCGAGGAAATGGCTTCAGGTGATAAGTGAGAGTATGGTGTTTGCTTTATATTGTAGGATATTAACATTATAAAGAATCCACTGCAATCTGCAACTCTGTTCAAGACAACTTGCCTGTTTCAAAATGAAGATTTCATATTATTTACACTTCCAACTCTGTATGTTCATGGCCATGTTACATGTTGAATCTTCTTTTTTGATTCAGAAGGTTTTAGGTCATTCTGGGGAGAAAAGAAATTAATTATGTCATATTTCCTATTCGAAATAGCGTAAACTGTCACGGTATATCTGGAGCATGGCTTATGTTGCCATCTTGTGGCTAAAGTAAAAATACGGACTGAGCTAAAGGACTGTAAAAAGAAACGTAGCAACAAAAACACCCAGACACTTTCTAATTTAAAAACGTAAATCCCAACATCTTCACTGTTACTTAGTAATGTACTGGAAAAACTAGCCTGGAACCTAATAAAAGTTAATTAGAGGAAGTTCACAGAAGGAAAGTTTCCTTAATGCCTCCTTCTATCTTCAGTTATGTGGGTCCTGCAAAAACCTTTTCAGAGGTTTCGGAGAACTCTCTGGAACAACACAGGATGGAAAGCAGGGGACAGCTGAGAGTGAAGAAAGTACTGTCTCAATGGGGGAAGGCTCCCTCCGCCCCATGCAGCCCTGCACAGGCCACCCAGGAAGGGGAATTTGGTTTTTGTTTTGTTTTTTAACGGTGCAGGTGGCTGCACAAAGCAGAGGTAGTAGGATTCTCTTCCCTTCCATGAACATCCTTTGACTATTCTAGGGTAGCTTGTTGGATATGTTAGGATCCAAGCAAAAATAGTAGGCAAGGAAATGCCTTTAAAAAAACCCAGAAATCACAGTTTACCGTGCTTCTACATAATCCTCTTGATATCATCACTTTGAGCGCAAGGTATAGCAACTGTTCTGTGCTCATCTTAGTTGCTTTTCAACAACTGCAAGGTTGTTACCATGGGTAGTTACCTCTGGGTAGTTTGGGCGGCATATAAATTGAATAAATAAATAAATAAATAAATAAATAAATAAATAAATAAACAGACGATCATATTCAAACAATTAACACCAGAATCCTCATGCCATCTCGTACAGCATCAGAGATAACCACACGCTGCTATAACTGTTATATGTATGGTATCAGAGCTGGCAGTTACTTATGTACTCAGTTAAAAGAAAGAGTGGCAGAAAGCTCAAAGTATACTTACTGGTGAATCCGATTCTTCTCTTGGGGCAGTTCTCTTTAATTTTACAACAGTAGTTCCTGTTACAGGCACCAACGGTGACAACTTCTGAGTAGATATTATACTGTTATTGGCTAAAATATTGTTCCGTTTAACTTCATTAATCCCAGATTCCACTTTTGAGTCCGGTGAAAGATTGGAGGCGGATTTGCATGTTGAAGAATTTGAAGGAACAGGCAGTCTCCTGCACGTGCTAGCCGGACTTCCCGCTGTAGGGAGTTTTACGCCTTCAACAGCTCCGTTCTCTGTCTTCCTTACTTTTATGCTTGTACTTGTAGAGCTGCCATCAAACACAATGAGAGGTCGCTTCCTTAGATTTTCCACAGTCGCAGTGCTGCACAAAGGAATTGTAACACAATGTTCTTAGAACACATTGCAGCTGAAAATGAAACTACAGAGAAGATCTTCCCTATCCTAAGCAAATTTCTACATCCCCGATCCCTTCTGTAGGTTTGTTTGCTTAAGTCAGACTGCAGACAGAGAAACAATTGGGAATACGTCGAGAAAAAAATGGCACCACTTAACAGTATTCACAGGTGTTTGCCTATTTCAGATTTAAATTCACTATTATAAAAACTATGAAACTACTATGCCACTGGTACTGTATATATTTTTTAAAATTCATGAACATTTCTGAAGAAGCAGACAAAAATTAGTATCAAATCATTTTATTTCTGCTTCTTAGGGTCACAACAACTTTAAGACACATAAAACACAAAAGACATTTAAAGTTTCTTTATGTCTTATGTAGCTACAAAAGTCTTCTTCCTGCTCCTAGGAAGCAGTCTCCAGCCCTAATTTACACAGGCATTTTCCCTGTTGTTATCAAGAATGACAACAAAACCACAGCTTAAATAGGGAGAAACCATCACCATTTCTAGGGGAGAGAACAGAACACAATTATGTCTACTTAGGAATATTCATTAAATATCAGAAAGAGTAACACCAGTAAAAAGAAGACAGAGGCGCCACGTCAGACACAGCCAGTATCATTGTGTCTTACAGAGTTAAACTACAATTCAACAAAGGGCATCATCTCTTTCAATCTACAGTGTCACTCTAAGCGATGGTTCAGCACTGGGCAACCTGTAGTCATGTGCTAAAAGGACCCAGAGCTTTCAAAGCTGGATCTCTTATTTCATAGCCATGGTGAGGCCAGCATCAACGCTAATTACATGTACACACTGGAGAAATGGTTCTGTTTGCTTTTCAAGTTTTCTGAGAAGGATTTTTCAGGAAACAGTCACTTTCAACTAATCATACACACACCAATCCCAAAGCAGATCGGATCCACTGGCCCTTCAGCTTCTCCTGCAAGTGTGGGAAGACACAACTGCTTTGTAAAATGTTAAATCATGTGGTATGCCAGACACTTTTTAATTAATTTATTAGGCTGCTCAGCAGCAGCTGCATTCTAACCTCTGTGTCAGAACCTAGGTGAATAAAAAAGTGATTTTTTGACTGATTTAAATCACAATTTGAATCATAATTTAAATTTTTAAAAATCTATTTTTTTATTTAAATTATCAAAAATCCATTTTTAAAATGCAAACCATGATTTAAATCAGCTTGATTTTTAAAAAGAAAAAAAAGCCAAACTGTGCTGCTTATATACCTCCCCATAGTAGTTGAAGCATTCTGTGGGCGGTTTACAATTTCATTATGCAGGCTATACCTTGGCCCCCTCCCTGCAAGCTGCATACTGAATTTGCCAACCTTGGAAGGCTGAGTGAACCTCTAGCCTGGGACTGAACCTTGGTTATGAGCAGAGGGTTGGCTGCAGTACTGCAGTTTAAACACTGGACTATGAGGCTCCTCCTAAAATTTACCCTGGGAAGTACAAGACCTAACCTGACAATAAGCCCTAGTATGATTTTTCAGGATGCTTGCAATATACGCCCTACCCCAAAAATAAGCCCCAGTTAAGTGAAACCCCGCCCTCCACCATTGTGCAGCAACCAGAAGCTGACATGACTATATTTGAATAACCATAGATGGTTGTACATGAAAAAAATAATACATCCCCTGAAAATAAGTCCTAATGTGTTTTTTGGAGCAAAAATTAATATAAGACCCTGTCTTGTTTTTGGGGAAACATGGTAATAAAGAAACAGTTCTAGTCACTTTTAAATACACTTCTTCATAGGATTGTTCTCATGGTAATTTCTATGTCTTCCAATTGATGTGTCCTCTGTGTTGCACCCGCCATCTACAATGATCTTCCCAATGGGATTAGATGGGCAGCTAGTGAGGAGCTGTACATGTATTTCCACTGTCAACTACGCATTTGCTCACCCAGGTATTTTCTTAATTATCTTCATGACTGCCAAAACTACTAATTATTTCTGTTTTTTAATGTTACTTTACTGTTCTATCATTACTATCTATTCATTTTATTATGGGGGTGGGGTTAGTATCCATCCAGTTGGCTATTTCAAATTGAAGGCAATATAAGAGTGCTCATTAATAGATAAATAAATAAAATTGGCATTGACGTCTTACCTCTTTTAATCATCAGAATGGGACCTTTTAACCCCTTAAGAGTCAACTTTTGTTGAAGAATTCACACAGGAGTAGATATACAGGGCAGGCATCCTATGACACTGTTACCCCAAAAGTTGTAAACATTGTGCTCAAGTTTCAACTACTGGCTGTATATATTTTTTTTAAGACGGAAAACAGCTGAAACAAAAATTTTCTCAACAGATTGATTACATCTGGATAGTTTTGCCCCAGACAACATCACACCTGAAACAAAAAAATGTTCCACGATGATTCTGGTGAACCATTAGGCCAATTAGCAAAAATCATTTATTATGGTTACCAGCAGGTTGGCCCCATTTAGGAGAATAATAGTGAATCAGTGGTCTGACTGATAAGGCCTAATACTGTATTTATGAAGGATTTCTGAATAGAGGCAAAAATAAAAAAAGGGGGAAGAACTACCTTTTGATGTCATGTTTCAATGTGTGCTGCCCTCTTTTCTTCTCCATCAGCTTTCCCCACCTAGTTTTTGGCAAATCACGTTGTGGCAATGGTATCACGTGCTGAACATAGAGATCAGTAAGTCTGTCTTTACTGATCTTCACTCCATCTTCAACTGGAATATTTTTCTGCAGAAAAACAATGACACTGAAAGTGAGAACGCTTCTTCTACAATACACTATTTGTCTTATGGGGAAAAGCACAACAAATCGCTGGCACACTTCCTGCAACCATTCTTCCTCCAACCCACTATATTTCCTCCAAAAGACAGAACTGTGATAGTGATGGTGGAATTAGCTTTAACCTTTTGACATCTGCTAAAAGCTCAACCTTATACTATGAAAAGCCCTGACTCACTTGCTCACCAAATGTGACAAGAGGACCTCCTGTTGTTCAAAGACACTAGGCCCACTAAAGGTCCACATGACACCAGCACGCAAGAGAAATGCAATGGAGGTAACCTAACCTGTACATGCTAGCTCCATGATAATTTAAAAGCCACACAAGTCTCAACATAAACATTTTTGGCTTTCCCACCTTCTCTAATGTACAGCATAGCATGAGTGATGGGCACCTTTTCTAGGTGACCTGCAAACTAACATTTGCAGTACTAGATTTACAAGATGCAGACCATAACCCTCAACCACTTGTTTCGAATAAGGTTTGCTGGTTTCCCCTTTACTGGTGGTGTTCCTGTAGATCCAACAACACCTCAGCATGAGGTGGACTTTTTCCTGGCATGGAAGTGAGGAAATAACTGCTGTATCTACTAGTTGTTCTGTGTCCAGCTTTTGTTAAAGACACACAAACAGGGCCAAGGGGGGGGGAAAGGGAGGATCAAGCTCGTGGGCATGCCACTGTGTTGACCTGTCATTCTGATTTTTTTCATTGGATAAAAGGAAGAGAGGAAGGAGACAGTGATCTTCATAAAACGAAAACACGGACTGCAACAGGCTTAAGGGGTTGTTAAAGACAAGCAACGCAATGAGGCATCTGCTAGGAAACCAGGATGGGACTCTGTATAACACGCAGCCCCAATCTTAACCACTGTTGACAGGTGAAAAATGGGATCTCTGAAGAAGCTGGGATTACCATTTAAGAAATAACAATAACAAAACAAAACAAAACAAAACAATAACAAAACAACAACAACAACAACAACAACAACAATAATAATAAAAACAACCCTCTGCTATAGTGCCTTTCATTGCAACTCCCATCTGCTGATATCAGAAATAGACCATGCTTTTTTTTGCACGCTGCATAAAAAGAGAAGATCCTCCTACAGTCCGTCCTCCCCTCCCGCCCCCCGCCCCAGGTGCGGTTACAGTCCTAAAAACTGCCCAAGCCCGTGGATTTCAGATTAAGGCGAGATGCAGAGGGAGGAGGCCCCGCCTGGCCAGGCCTTTGGCGGTTCTCGTCACTGTTCAGGAAGCCCCTTACCTACCCCGGGCAGGCCCCGCCCCTTTTCAGGCAGTTTCACACACACGCACACCTCCGCGCGCCCAGCGCGCTACCTGCTCGAGCGTAAGCAGCAAAAAGTCCTGCGAGAGGAGCTCCGGGTGCAGCAGCAGGTCCGCGTCCGACCGACTCCCTCCCTCCCCTCCAGAGCGCTCTCGGACATCGATCGCCGCCATCTTTCCGAATGCAATCCTGATTGGCTCGCTGAGCCTCCCTTCGCCGGGTTCCTTCCGGTTCCCATCATTCCCAAAGTGGGGCGGGGAGAACCACGAGGCTCATAGAGATAAGAAAAGGGTAAAGGGGTCTTTCCGTCGGGTCTGAGCATTTCTGGGATCACGTTGGAAATCTTTTTCTTCCTTCTCACTGAATAGAAACAGTGGTAAAATCCAAGATTATACTTTGGCTGGGCAAGAGGTTCCACGCTTTCTAACTTTTCGTGTGCAGATTCACACACACACACAGACACACAGACACACGATCTACACACAATTTTAAAACAACCTGCTGATATAATTAGTATTAACCACCACCTCCGCCTTTAGTATGTCTGCTGGAGATCAGCTAACGACTGCAGTGTACAGTACAGTAGTTTGTTGTTCTGGCCACATTGCAGGGAAGGGACTCGAGAAAGGCTGCGAGAGTTGAAGAGCACAGCAATATATTTTGATGCCTAATTTTTTATCATTTCAGTCCCATTTTTATCAATACAAGTGATGAATAAGAAATCATCACTTGTATTTATTTCAGTCACCAGTACTCCAATATAGAAGAGATGTCAGAAGACAAGTTACTGTTAAAACATGTTTGAATGTTAAAATTGGATTAATGAACATTGTCCAGAAGCCTACTACGGTAGTTTCTCCTCCCTGGTAACAGGGTACATTAATCAATGTAAATCTTGTAGCACACATTTGAGGTTCGAATGGGATTGAGTTGTTCACTGCAAAGATTTTGCAATAAAATTACCAGATTGTGGTATGCAGGAAAGCAGTAAGAGCACAAAATATACAGTGAGATATAGCCTGCATAGCTGACTGGATAGTTCGGTGGATTAGGTATCCAGCTGTGGAGCTAGAGGTTGGGAGTTCAATTCCTCACTGTGTATCCCAGATTAGAGCCAGCCTGTGCAGCCCTGGGCAAGCTGCACAGTCAGATATGCAGGCTGTAACTCACTGCATATTTATATTTTTATTACCTTCCTGCATACCACATCCTGGTAATTTTATTGCAAAATCTTTTCAGTAAAGACCTTTTAATAGGGGTTATTTCTAGGTAAATAGGTATAGGATTTCACCTTAATTTATCAGACAATTACTTTTTAATGTTCAGATTAAGATCCTAATTAGAACAGTGTGAGGATGAACCAGCACAAGTGGCTGAACCTAGAAGGGAGCCGTCCCCTCACTCGTCTAAGGTTGAAGGATACGACGCCGTCTTTACACTATTACCTTCAACAGTCCAAGCCATGGCATTGGGAAGAGAAGGCAGGAAGCCTGTGGCGGGGAAGGGGCAACCAACAGAGGAGAGTTTCTTGATGACAGAGGAGGAGAAGGATGTGAGCGGGTTAGCATGGGAAAAGAGGGGAAAGAGGGGCCGGGGATCAGAAGAGTGGGAAAGTCTGGAGGCAGGAGGTAGAGAAGAAGATAAGTCAGTCCCACAAGCCATATGTGTTCTCCTTTCCCCATAAGAGGGAGACGAAAGATGAACGAGAGAGGATGATTCCAAAGGGCAAGGAAGGTGTGGGGATTGAAATACAATTGGGGGGAGGTGGAACCTCTGGAATGGGCGGTCTTTTCCCCAAGAGGGAAAGGTCCATGGAAGAAGGTGGTGCGTCTGGACCCGATACCAACCAGGTCGATGCATCCCAAAGGCGACTGGGCTCCACACCCATGTTGCAGGACTATTTGCGTGGTGAGGAGTCATCCCATGAGGAAGCCCACCGATCACGAGAAGTTTGGAATGGCCCCTCGTTAAAGGACACTTTTGAAAAGCTGGGATTACATGAGATGTGGCCCGAAACTTCAATAGTTGTTGGTCCCATTGGATCCACAGAAGTTGTTCATGCTACACCGTTAAAAGCTATTAAACCATTGTATAACGTTGCACTGATTCCTGTGATGACTTACTTGAAGGGTGAGGAACCGCCTGTCTTAAAATTAGAACCCAATCACAAACAGCTATATATAAGATCAGTTGGGCACAAGGCTGATCTGTTCCATCATGAATGCTTTTAGAGTTCATAGTACAGTCTCTGTATACAGAGCTCTTTGCTGCACCAACACAAAGAAAATAATTAACCTAGAAACTTGCTGTACCAGTTACTAATGCTCAGTTATGCTTTCTGATCTTGCTTAACCCAGTCAAACAAATAACAGGAGTTGAAATGAATCAGTATATACTACAGCATATTAGTAATATTTGCTATGCGGTTGGTCAGTGGCCTTAGTTAATATTTTCCCTGTGGTTGTTTGGCTTTTGTCTTCGTGTACATTTTTTTATTTTCATAAAATAAAAATAGATACATAGTACTGTAAATAATATAAGCCTATATGTGCCTACTCAGATAAGTCCCACTGAATTCAATGGGATTTAATACAGCGTAGCAGTTCAGTCCTAATGCAGAAATACACCTGTGGAAATGGGTAAATAGGATTATGCATGAACCTCTTCTCTGCATGCAGAAATGCTTTTGTGCTGGATGATTTTAGAGGCCTCTGGACAGAGCCATCGGCTGCCACAATTGTTCTGCTTTCTAGGATTTACCCGCAGAACAGCCAAAAGAGGGGGAGAATAGACAAGGCAAGGGAGGAGCCCATTACTTCATATTCAAATGTTTTCCAGTCTAGGAACCCAGCCACAACGCTGACACAAAGTTAGACCAAAGTGAAGGTACAACTAAATAATTTTTAGTGTCCTTAGGGCAGTTGTAGTGAGCCAGCTTCAGCTAGCTTAGCGTCAATCCATACTGGCAAGTTAGAATTGTATTGTTAGGAAAACATCATGCATTTGGGGATTGAAATTAGAAATTGAATATTTGTACTCATCTCCCAGGGGAGACAAATATGAATATCGCCACCACAGGTGGCTGGGCCCTTTCGACCCACCCCTAGAACTGGCTGGTTCACTTACCATTTACAGTGCGCATAGCCATTGTCATTTGTGCCGTGCCAGTCATGGAAGTAGCCTGGCTGGGGCTTCCCCGCCTCCCTGTGCTACTGATCACTCAGCAGATGAGCAAGGAGACTCATCATCCCACCCCCTCACTGGAGTGGTCAGTCATGCAGGGAAGCCCCAGATAGGCTACAGTGGACCCTCGACTTACAGACGGCTCGACTTACAGACTTTTCGAGCTACAGACTTCTCTGGCTGCAAAATTTAGATTCAACTTGCAGCCAGAGAATCGACTTACAGACCAGAAAAATGGAAGTAGCCTGGCTGGGGCTTCCCCGCCTCCCTGTGCTACTGATCACTCAGCAGATGAGCAAGGAGACTCGTCATCCCACCTCCTCACTGAAGTGGTCAGTCATGCAGGGAAGCCCCAGACAGGCTATTTCTGTGGTTGGCATAGTGCAAACAATGATGGTCCCACGCACCATGCTGCAAGTGATGTAGACCAGACAGTTTGGGGAGGGGGGGTCAAAAGGGCCCACCCACCTGTAGTGGTGATATTCATATTCATCTCCCCTGGGACATGAATGCAAATATCCAATCCACTGTATTTCTGTGGTTGGCACAGTGCAAACGATGATGGTCCCACGCACCATGCTGCAAGTGATGTAGACCAGACAGTTCAGGTCAAAAGGGCCCACCTACCTGTGGTGGTGATATTCATATTCATCTCCCCTGGGACATGAATGCAAATATCCACTCTGTTATTGAAATGTAGTATTCAGTTGCGGAAATCTTGTTGCTTTAACCTAGAGTGCAACCACATAGTGAAAAAAATACAAGTGGATCTGCTGTGAAGTTGCACCTTGGTTAATTCTCTTCAGCCAACCACATAGGAGTCAGCAGAGAGAGGGGAGGAAACTGGCACTCAAAAAGCCTTGTTTGCAGCTTGTTCAGGTGTTTCTGCTCTGGCTGTAGTATTCAGTGGTGGAAATCTTGTTGCTTTAACCTAGAGTGCAACCACATAGTGAAAAAAATACAAGTGGATCTGCTGTGAAGTTGCACCTTGGTTAATTCTCTTCAGCCAACCACATAGGAGTCAGCAGAGAGAGGGGAGGAAACTGGCACTCAAAAAGCCTTGTTTGCAGCTTGTTCAGGTGTTTCTGCTCTGGCTGTCCAGATTTGTGGGAGGCACTGTTAGAGCACAGCTCTCTTAAAAAATGGAAATATATTGACAACTTCCTCCTCTCTATCTCTGCTGATTAATTGCCTCTCTTTTGCCTTTGATTAGCTAGCTACCCTAGCACCAGGCAGCAAGCTTTAAAAAGAGGCGGGGGCGGAATAGAACAGGAAGGAAAAAGGAAAACAGATTCAAGTACCAAGTTTGGGGGGCAGAGGTTTCCCTGCTGCCCTGCCTGTCTCACGTTAGCTACAAACCCTTCTACATAGGTTCAAGTAATCACTATGTGAACCAGTGTGAATGCATTCAATTCAAAAAAAGTAGAAGCCCCAGCAATGGAGGAAAAATTATGGATGGGGAGGTGAGCAATGGATTGGGGGTCAGATCTGCATGGGCATGTATGTCACGTAGTCAGCAGAAAATAATGTGAATCTGACCATCTCAATCTTGAAACATTTCCCACATTATTTATCAATGTAATCATACCATGTAATGCTAATTAGGGCAGTGAAGAATTTTAAGGTTGGGTGCTGCATATTATTATTTTATGCAAGCTTAAATCTTTTTAAGGTGTTTTTAACAGTTTTAATTAATAATTTTAACTCTAATATATTTTAAAATCCTTTTCAATGTAATAATTCATTATGTTTTTAACTGTTTTTTTAAAATTATGAGTTGCCTAGGGTCCAGTAACTGGGAGAAAGGTGGCACAGAAATGAAATAAAAATGCTGGAAGCAGAACACTCTGGTTACTTAAGCGGAAACCAAAGGCAGAGATAGTATAACAGTTGATCATTCATAATTTAAAAAAACGGGGAAAGAAGAAGATCTGGTCGCGTGAAGGATCTGGGAGAGCGTTTTCAAAACAACACAACATCCTCGCTGAGAGATGCTGGAACAAAAAATAAATAAATATCAAAGCAGCCATTTCCGGGAGGAAGAACAACCCGAAGAACAGTCCGCCGCTACAACACGGTGTGTCTGGGGGCATTAAAATATTAAATTTTGGGAGTTGGGGGATTCATAGCTTCCCGACCCACATTTGGGAAACCTCTGTAGTAACGCACTGGCTAAGGATGCCACCCCTATAGATCCTGTGTAGGAGAAATTCCCAGCCTCCCTAAACACACCGAGCCCCATGACCCTCAGCAGGGTCTCCTCAAGAGTAGGCACGGGCAAGACCGTCCTGGGAGGGTGAGGCTGTGTCCGTCCACCCGTGGGTGGGTAGGTGGGTCGGGCTGAAGCCCAGCGCCACCCCCTTCCCTTTCGGCTCTCAGGCACCGCGGGAGGAGGCCCGGCTGGCGGCTCGCCTTGTGACCGGAAGCGCCGGGGAGCCGCCCCCGGAGGAGGAGGAGGAGGAAGAAGAAGGAGAATCAGCTGCGGCGCCTCGCCAGGCTCGCAACGGTGGCGGGAGAGTCACGGACGGCGCCGGGGCCTCGCGGGAGAGGGGAAGCCGGGGAAGGCTGGCCGTGA